ATATATATATATATATATATATATATGTATATATATTTAGAACATTTATTTTTCACTTGCCCATTTTCGCTATAAATTTGGAAATGGGGGGGTCTTTGGTTTAGCACTACTGTTTATCCGGCCACAGATTTGATTTCCACTACTTTTTTGTGTAACCCGAATTGAAGGCGTAACCATTTTCTACACATATATCCTTATATTATCTGTTGGTTCATTTGGATGACACAGAACGATATTAAACATGTTAATAGTAAACCTCAATGCTCTAATGTGATCTCCAATATTCTTTCTTATGCTCTTAAAATTTATAAGTTCAGTGATAAGAAGGATAAATTCTTCTCGGGTATTATATATTTTGACTCTCTTCCTCACCCTCTACAGAGTAGGTTGCTCTCCAAACCAACCTTGGTGAAGTGGCAACCGCCCCCAATGGGGTGGGTGAAAATTAATCCGGATGGTAGTTGGAATCAAAGCAGTGCTGGTTTTGGGGGAGTTGCGCGTAACCACAGTGGTCGCTGCCTGCTATTTTTCTCTTCTACATGTATTGCAAACTCTGCTGTGGAGTCTGAAGCTTACGCAATTTTAATGGCGGTCACTATTGTGGTCTCTTTGAATTGGTAGAATATTTTGACTGAGACCGACTATAAGATTCTTTTTGAGATGTTAAATCAAGGGAGACTTGTCACTTGGGATGTTGCTTACCACATTAACCGTATTATTCGATTATCCTCTACAGTTTAGGTTCATTGGAGATTTATTCATCGCGAAGTTAATAGGTCGGCCAATTGGGTGGCAAAACGCGGTGCCTCCACCTCCTTAGTCGATACGGTGCCTCCCTCTCCTTTACAGGTTTTACTTCATGGGGATTTAATGGCTGAACCTTATCTTAGGAATGCTAATAGCTGATTGGTTTGGTGTATTTATTGCTTATGGTTTGGTCTCCACTTGCTTTGCAGAGATGTTTCAATTTCCTCGGTACTATTTGCTGGCTTTTTCATTTCTCGGTACATGAACGGTATTGGGGTTGGAGTGGCAATTTTTTTCTCCTTCCTCATACATTCCAGATATTTGGATCTTATTTTCGGTGCAGGTTTTGATGTATGTTTATGCAGGTTCTTGATGATGGCTTTTGGCTTAATGGGCTTGTTATTATACACCAGGATTGCTAGGGATCCTTCACTATATTTTCAGCTCGATGCGATCCTTTTTCAGGTTTTGATTTTTGCCTTCTCACTGGAACTAAAAGCCTTCACTTTGATGTTGCTGCTCGACATTAATATTGGATTGGGATTTCGTGTACATGTAGTTTTTTGGGTATACTATTCCTTTGGTATACATTTTGGACGATTACATGTATTTTTTGGATAACTTTTTCCTTAGGTATTTATTTTATTTCGCGTTGCATTGTACTGCGGAGACTGGAACCCCTTGGGCTATAATGTATTTTTTTGCTTTTAGATGAAGATCCACTATCCCTCACAAACTTTGTAATCTCTTTTTAATTAATGCGTAAGGAGCCACGAGCTGCTCTTTTAACTATATATATATATATGTGGTGGCTAACCTTGGTGCTCTGCTAGGGTTTCCAACGCGATATATATATATATATAGTCATATTTTATTCCAAATATTATGTGCTTATTCCAAATAGTATGTGCTTATTTTTCACATGAAAACTAAAGAAAAGTACTCCACCATCCGTCTGTCTCCACGTCACTTCCTTCATATAAAAGCCCACTTCCTCCCCCAGCCACTCACATTCATCTCCAAGGCTTTAGCTCTCCTTGCCCACCTCTGCGCCTAATTTTTGGCTCATAAAACCAGGATAATCTGGTGAAGGAGGGAGAGGAAACCTTGGAACCCATACCCTAAACATCATATTTCTCTCTATTTCTTCTAAATTTAAAGATGGTATCAGAACACACTTTAGCTTTTGCAGTCGGAATTCTAGGTATCTTCTTCTTCTTCTTCTTCTTCTTCTTCTTCTTCCTCTCTCCCTCTCTTCCCCAATCCTCACTCAGCTTTTCATTTTTCCTATATAGTTATTTTCTATCGTAAATAAGTGGTCCTCAAACTAAAAGTTGGTGTGTGAATTGCATGCTCTTGAGGACGCTGACGTCCACCTATTTTCATCTCAAAACATAGGTTGCCAAAAAAATAAATAAATAAATTTAAGCTACCCATATAAAAGAGAAAAATTGTTTTCGATTCCAACTTAAGTAAACTTCTAGCCTTCTTTTTTATTTGTTTCATCACCTTACGCATACATGTACCATTCACTTGCCAAAACTAATAACTTCTTTTCTGGACTAATTTAGAGTTGGGCAGCAAAGCATTTTCTTCCTTCTTTCGAATATTTCTTGTTGCAGAACTTGATGGCCCTGTCTTCATCCTTAGCCACAACTATACAACATAATAACATAACATAAATCCATAATCATGTAATCCAATACTTGACAACTATCTAATTTGCCTTCACTTTTGAATCTCTCAGGCAACTGCATTTCCTTCATGGTCTTCTTGGCCCCAGTGTAAGCATCTTCACTACTTCATATCTATACATATATATATATACATATTTATAATGTTGTTGACATAATTAATTTATGTGTAGGCCAACATTTTATCGAGTATATAAAAATAAAAATACGGAAGGATTTCATTCAGTGCCGTACGTAATAGCGCTCTTCAGCAGCATGTTATGGATTTACTATGCTCTGGTGAAGACAAATTCCGTCCTCCTAATCACCATTAACTCATTTGGTTTGCTAATCGAAACCATATACATATCTATCTATCTTGCATATGCCCCCATGGAAGCTAAGGTATGGATTTTTTTTATGCAATTAAGTGATTAATTAATACTAATTAACATTCTTAATTAAAATTTTCAATTAAATATAGAAATTCACTGCTCGGATACTTGTGCTTCTCAACTTTACTACATTCGGGATGATTCTAGTTTTTACTCTCCTCTTCTTTCATGGCCATAAGCGTCTGATTGTTCTTGGCTTCATATGTGATATCTTCTCTGTCAGTGTCTTTGTTGCTCCACTAAGCATTATGGTAATTAAATATTTTTTTAATTTTTAATAATTATATATATATTTATATTAAATTATATATATAATTATAATGTTGCTTACTTTTATTGATGCAGAGGCTGGTCATCCGCACGAAAAGTGTGGAGTACATGCCTTTCAACTTGTCCTTTTTCTTAACCATCAGCGCTGCGGTTTGGTTGGGCTATGGTGCACTGACGAAGGATAAATATGTAGCGGTATTAAAACTCTGAATTTTCATTTAGTGCTGTTTAATAGATATATTATATTAGTAATAGCAATATTCAGATAATAATTTTAATTGATCAACACTAACTCCTTAATTAGTTGAATATTGCAGTTATTATATGATACTTACATGTTAATACTTGTCTTAAAATATAATAATTTGAGGCTATACTTCCTAAATATTATATGAAACTATCTAAGAAAAATTTATTGCTATTTGTGGTACTTAGATTATGTGCACGAAAGACAAATGAAAGTTAAATGTGATTGCTTGCTGCACATTCATAGAATTGATGTCGATCCGCAGCCATTTTGATGTTCTAACAATGCTATAGGAGAATAATGTTATATTTAGCTAAAACTATAAATTGGTGAAATTTTCTATTATAAGATAAACAGATTTAATTTCATAATTTATTTCCTGCAAGTGTTTATGAATTAATGAGCTTGCAATTTCTTAAACATATATCAACATCATGTATTGAGTAAAACCATTTTTTTTCAAGTGTTGAGCAGAACTAATCACTAATAGTTAGCATAAACTCTCATCTCTATAAAATTTGGAGCTAAATTCTGCAATTAGTAGGCTCCAGAGCATTTAGTTTAATGAAGTTCTTTTGATTAAGTGTTTATTTTTTATATCATATTATTAATTACAATATGGCCTAAAGGGCAGATATATATGAAAAATATGTAAATATTCGCTATAAAAACATGAAAAAGATAATCTTTATAGGAAGTATATTGTGCTAAGTACTTGAGCTAGCTTTTTTATAAACTTTGTTCATTTTCTTAAATATTGAGCTAGTACATAACAATTATTAACATTTTGTTATTTTCAGTTGCCAAACATTCTTGGACTATTGTTCGGTATAGTACAGATGGTGCTCTACTGCATCTACAAAGATGCCAAACCCAACCTTGTTGATCCGACGAAGAAGGGGATGGCTGTGCCTGAAATAGCGCTTGAAGTCTCTGATGACGCCTCGGGCGGCAATTGTGGCAAGAAAGATGAAGAGAATTGTTAGAGTCGCTACTAAAAGAAAAATTTCAGCAGCGTGTATTTGAAAACATTTTTAAGAAACACTGCTAAAAGTCTTTGTAGCCCTACCAATTGCAGCAATTTAAAATCCGTCGCAATGAAAAGAACAATGATTTTTACCAGTGTAATTGATAGAGAATAGAGAGAAATAATCTACATAAATCTACATAAGTTGTTATACTAAGAGAGCTATAGTATAATTAGAATCAAAATGTCTGTATAAGAAGATGTTGTAGTTGTACGCCAACAATGGTTTGTATTTGGGTATTGTAATATTGATATGTTATGTAATCATTTTCAAATCTTGCAGATTTTGTTTTCATTGGGCAATAGATGATCATATCAGATTTTATAAGACATTTCTCATCAAAAATTAAATTTTTATTATAGTTTGCAGACTTGTTGTATCAATGGTAGATTTAAGAAGAAAATAAGAATTTTAATCTGAAATGATTTATGATGTGATATGGAGTCGGTCAGAAGGCATTATTTATGATTCTAAATGAGGAATTTCTTATAAGATATCTGTCAAGACCAAGTAGGTATATTTTGCATTGCAGCGAGAAGTTACTTCCTGAAACAAGTTTGGAATATTAGTTTAAATGTACATATGCAAACAAATTTATGGGCAGGTTTGTTTTGGCAGCAAACAGAAAAGCCAAAATAAGTATTGTTTAGTATTTAATGCATGAACTATTAAACTCAATCTTTGTTTTGTACTAGGCATAGAAGGTTTTATAGATACGTAACAGGAAAGTCAGATATGAAGAAAAGGATATAATAAATTAAGGCATTAAATATTTTAGTAATTATCTTCTGACTTAGTTGACTTGGCAGCTCTAATTCTACTATAATCTGGGCTGCTTATGTGGTCAATATTCTAGAGGCGGCGAATTTTAGCATTTTTGTTTTTTTTATTAATCCATAAAAATAGACATCGAAATTTAAGCTCTCATTTCAAAAAAAAAGAAAAAAAAAAAAAACTTCAAAATCTAATTTGCATAATCAAAATGAAAATTACAGCAACGAAAACGAAATTTAGATTTTGATGTGAATTTCCATCTTGGAACTGAAAAATAAGATTTCGAAAAGAATTTTCATTCTGGGTGTGGAAATTAGTCTTTGAAATGGAGAATGCAGTTAAAACTCTTACATCATATGAAATATTTTCTTCTAAGAACATATTTCCTATTGTTAAGTCAATCTCGTAAGAGGTTGCGGCGACAAATATTTTGGTTTTTTGATTTGTGTTACAGTTGGAAAAAAAAAACGTAGCAAATATGCTCGTGATAGGGTTGAAGTGGCTACTGTTACAAGTAATATTAGAAAGAGATATCATGAAGTTTAAATAAATTGTCGAAATAAATTTTTCTAATACGAAACAACAATTAAAGCTCAAAAATTGATTGATTTTAAATTTGACTTGGATTTGTTTAGAGCCGACAATAGTTAAGCTTGAAATCAGAACATTAACAGTTTACTAAGGCTGTTAAGGCTGTTGAAGATCAATAATCAACGACATTTATCAATATTTTATCTTTAGTTTTGTTTATCACCATAGCTACACCAACTCATTCACGAGTATATTTCATTCACATTTTATCTACAAGTGTAAGGCTTGTGATCCATATGGGATTTATGATTTGATGTGTTGTTAAACTTGCATTTATTTTTATCTGTATTTTCAAATTTTATATGACGAAATTGTAGTTTGAGGAAGATTGTATTTTGTTGTTGTAGGTTGAAGCAAGAAAGAGGAAAATAGGAATCAAACTGAAAGTAATTGGAGAATTAAGCAAAATTTTGTCATTGGTGGCCTAAGCGCCTGGCCACTCCCGAACCCTCACAAATTAAACAATAAACCTGAAAGCTTGACACTAATGCACCGTTATGGGTGATTAGGTGTCGTGATAGCAGGCGCGTAAGTGCAATGGGCGCTTAGGCGTCATGGCGCTTAGACTCCAGATGGGCAATTCCAAACGGAGAGCTTGACACTTAGGCTCTAGCCACTAGGCACCTAGGCTCTCAAAACAAAGACTAGTCGTTGGAGCAGTTCTGACTTGGAGCAGTTCTGACTTGGAGCAGTTCTGACGTTGAGATAATGGGGAGAAAATATAAAAAAGGTGAAGATGAAGTTTGAATGGCTTTTTGTTTTGTTTACTTCTGTCCTTATAGTGGAAGAAAATTCTTGAGGAGAAGGTCATACATCTAGTAGGGAGGTTAAAAGTTTCAAAGCAAGATCAAAGAGAGGGTTGGGATTGAGAGATTGAGAGTGTGCTTATAATTCATTTGCATTTGTTGGACTTAAGGGAAACAAGTATTCTGAGTTTTTGTGTTTCTTCTTGAATTTTGAGATGCTTTTATATGAGTTTTACTTTTAATTTAATGTTGATGTTGATGAGATTTGACATGCTTAGTGAGTAGTTTTTTTTTTTTTTTGGTTCATCTTTGTTGTGGAAGTGTAGGGTTAAGAGTTAAGCAAGTTGCTGCGGATTTTTTTAATGAAATTTTTAATTAATGTTGGAATAACTTAGAAACTCATAGACTATTAATTTAACTAGTTAATTTGTTAAAATTAGTCATGATTATAGAATTTTGAGAGGAATCTATAAGGAACGATTAAGTTATCTGTGTGAACTCATTAGAATAGGAATATTTCCTTTAAATTTGTTCAAATTGATTAGATAGAAAAGTTATCTTGTATTTTTCCTTTGATTTGGGGAACTAAATGAATAAATTGTCAACCTTTCTTAGACTTCCAGAAGGATATATGAAAAATTTTAGTATTCTCTTGTTTGACACCTTATATGAATCATTTGCTAAGTTGAATCCCTACATAGCCACTTCAAAGGAGAATTTTTGGGACATATCTTAATAATCATTACTTACACTTATTTATTTTAAAACTTAGGTTTAGCTCATTTTCAATAATCAAGGTAAGAAAATTTATTAAACTTCAAAACTTCAACCTTTCAGGCTAGAACTAACAATTTTAGGCTAGAACTTTTTCTAATTGAGTTTATCCCATTGCTTGTGAGATTGAAAACCAGACTCAAATCTCATTACTATTGATACGTCACGTATACTTGCATGAGTTGCTTGTGTTTTGCAACACTTGGTGCATGTCAAAATTTTGACGTTGTTGTCGAGGAACAATGGTGAATTTGAATTAGGAAAAAATTATTTGAACTTTTGTGTCTTAAATTTGAATGATTATAGTGTTCTTTGTTTCCTGTTCAATTATTTTTATTTCCTTAATTCCAAAAAGCAAAAAGTATCTTATTTTAAATTTCTTAGTTGTGTGTTTGTTTTTGATTTAGTAGTCTATTTGAGCTATTTGTTTTTATTTGAACTATCTAATATTTTCATTAGCATAAGATGTATGTAGTAGTTAGTATATGTGTAGTTCAGAACCTTCTGGACTTAAACCCAATGATTCTGAGCTTGAGAGAACTGTAAAAAAAAAAATCAGAAAATAAAAGATACTTTAATAACTTTTAGAAGAGGTGGCTAACAATCCTTAAAATAACCAAGAAGCCCATAAACATCAAGACACGTCTAGACCTTTGAGAGACTATGCCGATTCTACGGTAGATGAAATCCATCTTAGTATCCACAACCTCGCTGTAGAAGCTAATACTTTTGAATTGAAGTTTGTTATTATCCAAGTGGTACAGAACAATCAGCTTGCGGGAATATATTCTGAAGATCCAAACCGTTCTTTAGCAGGTTTCTTAGAACTTTACACTACATTTCACCATATAAGCTAAAATATGGCTAAATTTGTTAGCTCCATGAACAATTAGGATATGGAGCGACTTGGCAAAAAAATTCTTAGAAAAATACTTTCCACCTTCAAAAATGACCAAACTTTGGAATGATATAAATTTTTTTGCCACTTGTTGGCATCAATTTTTGATGTCACGAGTGTAGGGTGTCCACCTGTATGGCTCAAGATGGTCTACAGTTCGCCTGCAGCATCTGGTAGCTCAAGACACTCACCTGAGACCCCACTGTCGTATGTTGAGGGGCGCGTTACCACACTTTGCTGGGCTTTGGTGTTTGCTCAGGTGAAGACCAGTCGACATTTGGCATGTCGGACGACTTTGATTGGGTTGACAAATTTTATATGTCATGTCGTGCGCAAAATTGGCTTGAGTTAGCCTGATCATCAACAAAGTTGTCCAGATAACCCCGAACGACGAAATGGACCACGGTAGTGCGTCTAGAACGTTGATTTCAGTCAGGAAGGGCATCTACTTCACTGCGAGAATGTGTACAAGCTAGAAATGCACTAATGATAATAATAATAATAATAATGATAATATATTATTTTTATATATCATTATTATTATTATATATTATTATTATTTTTTAAAACCTACGCTCTCCTCCCTCTCTCCCCTATCGCGACATCTCTTTGCAGCCGCCCTCTTTGGTTTTTACAAAAAGGGCGTCCGTGCCCTAGCTTCCCGCCGTTGACTCCTCCTTGCCAGCGAACGAGGTCGTCGACACCCTCTGCCTTGTCGGAAAGCTCCCTACCGCCGACTCTCTCCCCATTTGAGGCTCCTACCCGCGAAGGAGATAGATCACATGGAGTCTCTCTCCCACTTTGGCCGGCCACTTCTCCTTCTCATTCTTCTTCTTCTCCAAGGAGGGCTCAAGAGAGGCTCATGAGGAAGCCTTTGGAAAGTTTGGAGGAAGCCTTGGAGGTGCTTCTTGGAGTGAAAGCAGTGAAGAGGGATTTTCTTTCCCTCCATTTTCTTCTTCCTCTTCTGTCAGATCTCTTCCTCCTCGCCGGCCTTGTCAATCTCCAGCATCGCATTTACGCTGGAGAAAATCAATTAGGAAAACGTCGTATTTCGGGCTTTCCTCTGCGCTTCCTTCACTTCTGGTGCGCACCACCGACGAGCTAAGTCCTCCACCTCGCCTTCCTACCTTCCCGGCGACTGGATACTTCACTGGAGCACTTTGACGACGCCGGGGAGCGAGCAACGTTGTTGTTCAAGAAAGTGTGAAGGTCTTCCGCCTCGAGAGGAAGGTCTCTGTCGGCGCTCCTTCCCACCGACATCCTCGTGGGTTCCCCTTTTCACTGTTGTTGAGCGACCCCTGCTACAAAGATATATGTGTCG